GTTATGAAGGATGCCAGTGGAAGAGCCCAGATGGCAATCTCTGCTGCTTCTGTGAACTTCTGGTAATAGGCATAAAAGCACCACAGGCAAATGCTAACCAGGGTGTGAAAAAATAACTTCATTTTTTCCAGAATGAGAGCTGTGTCAAATATTTGCCTGCAAATGTTTTTGGGACGAACATTCTGCTTTTAAGAGGCATGAAAAAGCTCCAGAAAAAAATATTTGCTTTTTACTTGCAGGGAAGTACACTGTTTGAAGTTGTTCACAGCCATTGTTTCCATGGGTTACTTCAGCACCATAGTTTTTTACCCTTTGGTCCTTATTTCCTGAAGTAATCCCAGCCAAAGAGAGATGTTGTAGTGAATGCTAGACCAAATGCATTGAATTTGCCATTCTTGAAGAAAAGAGGTGTGACTTCAGGTGCAGCATTAAAAGTATGGCCCTGTTTCAGATTAAGCATGGCACTGCCTTCCATGCATGTGAATGGAAGCTAGTGTTTTGTAATATTTGATATATAGCCTCGGTTTAAGAACAGTCCAGTTTAAGAACGATTTGGTTTACAAACTCCGCAAAACTGGAAATAGTGTCTTGGTTCAAGAATTTTACCTCAGTCTAAGAACGGAATCAGAACGGTGGAAGGTCACCAGTGGCGGGAGGCCTCATTAGGGAAAGCGCACCTTGGTTTAAGAATGGTTTTGGTTTAAGAACAGACTTCCGGAACGGATTACGTTCGTAAACCAAGGTACCACTGTATTTAAAAGTGTATGTATAGCATAGGTGGCCACAAGCTGCGTGAACACCCATAGCATGCAACAGATCCACTGCCCCATAGGCTTTCATCCATACTTCCTCCCCACCCCCAGCTATGAGGTTGGGAGATTTGCCACCTGGTGGATTTCCTATTCAAAACATTCTTGGGAGATCGCCGCATCAACAAACCATCTTCTAAAAGTTAGTTCCTATAAAGAGACATCCTTTGACCATCCTAGACTATCAAGCAATATTAACATAACCTTGTCAATAATAAAATGATAATGCCTCACTCTGCAGTGATCAGATACAGTACACCCCTAGTGATAGCCCAGCTACTGTAATCAAATAGCCATCACACACCAATGTTCTTTAAGGAGAAAAATCAGAAACAACATATTGTGAGTATGAAAGAAAGATTATGTGTTACAATGGAGATAACACAATCATTTTAGAAGTTATAAATGCTTCTGCTTTGGGAAGTCAAAGATCTGTTGCTCATCTTCCTGCAGGTCAGTGACTCCAATAATACATTGTTCCTGATGTAAGCAGGAAGTTTCAAATTTGGCCTATGATGTCAAGGCACTACAAGACAGCAGTGTGAAATAAGCTGTATTTTGTATCTAATCTTCTTCTCTTGTACTGATTTTTGTTTAAGATAAGCAGATACGTTTTTAAAGAAATAACATTTTCTGCTGTAGTGTAGAATTCAGAGTGACCGTACACAGATTCAAACAGCAGGTGCACAGAAAATGAGGTCCAAACATTTAGAGGTGGGGGAACCCATAATAATGGCTGTAAATCTGCCTTTGGGAATACGTTTGTTACTGAATTGTGCATTTCTGATGTAATGACAGAACAGGGGCATAGTCTGAATAACCTCATTCCAAATCTTAAATCCAACAATATTGGCAACGCAGGTTGTATAGTCTGCTTTCATTTTAATATTGGGAATTGGATCCATTTTTTCCTATTTTGGAATATCTCCTGTGCCAGTCCTTTTAGGTTGGACTGCATGATCTCCTATAAAGCATTCGGCTTTCCTCTTGTGTAGCTGACAGCAGAGTTCCAAAGAAAGACTTAGTACCACTCTGAGCCATAGAAAGTACCCTCCTATCTTCTTGGCTTCTATTCTCAGTTATAGAAACAGGGCCTGGTTGATGCTGTTAATGCAAGTAGCACAAGGTTTACAGGGAGGAGTTAAACATTAATATCTGTTTCTTGAGCATTTCTCCTCCAGGGATTTGAAGCAATTTACTAATTTACATTTCAGAACATTTTCCTACACACCTGATAAAGAGGTATGTAATTCATAATTTGCAAAATGAGGTAAATTAGGGTATTTCACTCGGTGCATATATCCCAGAACAACTTGGGAAAATCAGAATGCCATTTTCCCCATTAGGAATAGACTTTGAACTCTGAAATATGAAGATAAACCTTACCATTTCATGTACCAAATTGTCAGGGCTTGGCTCAAGAATTGAACAACTGTAAAATTTCTGCAGGAAAATTGGTGCTACCATTCCAATGTCTTCTTTGAGCTCTTCAAGCATCTTGAATCATCTTCACACAACAGAAAGAATCACACAGCATCTTTCCTCCTGAAATTGAGCTAAGAGCCACATTTTGACAGAAATTTGCAGAAATTTCTGGCTCAGGATGCTGGTCCCATTCATTGGAAGCCCCTATTTTAGATGAAGATGTAAGTGGGCTTGCCATGATATTTTTCATAACCTTATTGGGTATTCCATGCCCACCCTCCTTCTGTTCTGAACATAACCCTATAAATAGGGTTATTTTGAGATTGCGACTTACCCCAGGGCCACCCAGCAAGGAAGTTTTATAGCTGAGTGTGGATTTGGGCATTATTGTCAAATCAGAAGCAGCAGGTGTATGAGTTCAGTTTTTGTGCTCCCAGTTGAACTTTCTAAGAGGGACAGTGCACACTTCTCCTGCATAATGATGTTTGAATTCCCTGTGCATCTAAGGTCCACATGTCTCCTTTCACAGGGGAAAATACCCACTTCCTATATAATAAAAGCAGATGTGCAAGTTACTCGAGTATCTGCCATTGCCACTTGATTGTAATGTTCAAGGCGACCCTGAGGAGCAACTGGAAGTTCAGTCTCCAGCACTGCATTCAGCGCATGACGGGCTCTCAATAGCTCATTTATGTTTGCTTGCACACTATCACAGTAGGAGCCACTTGCCTGTTCAATATAAATCAAATGCACCTATTTTCATCCGTAAAATTCTGGAAGGTACATGAAAGGACAAATTACCTTACGGTTTCCAACCCTGCTTGCTAACTAGTAATATAGCGGTATTTTTATGCCTTTTTCATGCCCTTTATCATTTGTGTACCAAAGTCAATTATGCAGGCCTAATGGCTGCTATCACACAGTTTAGAAATTGTTGTTTCATAGATCTCTCTCTCTCTCTCTCTTTTAAAGATGGTATTATTATTTTCTTCTGGCACAGGAGGTTCTAGAAATTGGTGAACTTGCTCACTGAAATAGCTATCTGACAATTTGCATTCTGTTCCAGAATTTAGCTCTCTATAATTTGTAGGTAATTGTATACATTATCATATTGTTTGGAAATATTCCTCAGATCCATGGCATGAAAGTGCTATACAAGTGTAGAATGACTGATTGATTAAAAGCTGATCTATGCAAGAAAACTTCAGAAATCAGAACATAAAGGAGCACAAACGAAAATACTGATTAGACTTTGGAGGGATAATTTCCAAGCATTACAATAACGACCTTGAAGACTGCCCAGCAGCATCGGTGTGTATGAGTTTCTTCAAAGGGGGAAATATAGGTTGACATTCCCCTGGTGATTTTCTGATATCAAATGAAAGACATAGACAATAGAGACAAGTGAGGGAATGAACATGCCATACAAGACCAGATTTTAATTTAGTGTCAAATAAGACCCAGAAAGCTTAAGAAGATTTATCCAGAGTATTACTATACACGAGTAAAAAACACAGCTTTATTGGATTTAATACAAGTATTTTATAGATATATTCTAGTGTCAGCACTGTAGAAAGGGGGCTTCTTATGGTGCTGGATGAAAAGGAAATAGCATGAAATCAGAACAGAGAGAGATGGTATCCAGTAATCAAGATGTTGGTAGCTACCCCATACTCTAGCCTTCCCTTTATTATACAAACATAGCTATAGAGAAGGTGAGCATAAGCAAAAGTGAAGTGTCTGGGGTTTTATTGAAAACCAGTCACTGTACTCAAACAAAGGATATATAGGTATATGGACAAGTGGATGAATGCAGTCTCCAACATGTCTTCTTCTTTTTTTAGGGGGGGGGCAGTCAGCAGCATATTAAATTGCTATCAAAAGGATAGTGAAAATAATTCAGCTAGGATTCTCTCTGGGATTCAAAGATAAAGCACCATCTTAAATCTTAAATTGAGATCAAAACATTTTAACATTCATTAAGGTACCTAAACAGAAGTGACTTGGTTTTCTGAGGATCTCTGACTTACTCGATTAAATACAGTGGTGCCCCGCAAGACAAATGCCTCGCAAGACGAAAAACTCGCTAGACGAAAGGGTTTTCCGTTTTTTGAGTCGTTCCGCAAGACAAATTTCCCTATGGGCTTGCTTCGCAAGACGAAACGTCTTGCGAGTTCTTGCGAGTTTGTTTCCTTTTTCTTAAAGCCGCTAAGCCGTTAATAGCCGCTAAGCCGTTAATAGCCGCTAAGCCGCTAATAGCCGCTAAGCCGCTAATAGCCGTGCTTCACAAGACGAAAAAACCGCAAGACGAAGAGACTCGCAGAACGGATTATTTTGTCTTGCGAGGCACCACTGTACTATTTCATGTGCTAGGCTTACATATGCAATCTGTCCTACATGTTTTCCTCTTTCCCGCACAGGGCAGGTAGTTTGTGATTGGTTGTGGACTCTGCCACCCTAAACCTATCCTGTTAAATGAAATAGAAATAGTGGTATGACGGGTCAGCTCCCTTTTCTTCATTTAGGCAGCCCTTTACAATGGGGTACACAGTCGTACCTCGGCTACTGAATGCCTTGGGAGTCGAACATTCTGGCTCCCAAACAATCGCAAACCAGAAGTGAGTGTTCCAGTTTCTGAATGTTCTTTTGGAAGCTGAACGTCTAACGGGGCTTCCATGGCTTCCGATTGGCTGCAGGAGCTTCCTGCAGCCAATAAGAAGCTGCGTTTTGGAAATCAAACATTTCAGAAGTCAAACAGACTTCCAGAATGGATTCTGCTCGACTTCTGAGGTACGACTGTCCCACTAACACACACACACACCCAAGCTATAGTGCAAGCTTTCAACTGCAGTTTGAAAACGCAGAAGCTGAAATCAACTTCTTCCACTGTCCGAATATTTGAAGGAAATAGGTCCTGGCATGGATTTCACACACCGTTCCCAGCAGTTAGAAAAATATTTTCCAATACCATGGCTATTAAGTGAATGTGAGGCTCTGGATGTCTGTGATATTTTCCGGTGTATCTGGGAACTCTGACCTTTTATAACAGGAATGGTGTCAGAGCCTGGGAAGTGCTTTAACTTGGCATGTGAGCAAGATGAAGCAAGAAGTCTGATTAGTCTATAGCTACAATGTGACCTTAGATATGTCTTAGACATGGACAGATCTGAAAAGCCAGGAGATTAGCCCAATCCATTATGATGCGATTCTCAAGGATCAAAATGTTTCTTACACAGCTCCTCTCTGGACACCTGTCAATAACTTAGAGAATCATTCCCACATTACTCCGTTCACTTAAAAGATATCAATACCATCCGCAGGAGAAAATTCTGTAAAATTCAGCACAGTTAAGTGCTGACTTTGTTGTTCTGTCTGCAGATGAATCTGTGTTGAATTTTCCATGAGGTCTCCCAAACTGGAGAACACAGAGGTAAGCAACAGATGGCTCTTGGATGGGCCTCCAAACACTTCAGGATATTAGCCTGCAAGAAAGAAAACGTAATTGTGTATGTATGTGTATGAGGAAAAAAACCCTGCAGCATTTAGCAAACTGAAGAAAGGAGTAAGCTTACACCATTGGCGTAGAAGTAATTTCTGCAGCTCTCTCTCCAATGAGGAGAAATAACACTCTCTTCACAAAATGGGTATTATAAACAATTGCCATTTGTTCCTGTCCTTCCTTTGCTCTTGCCTTTCTCTCTCCCATGCCATAAAATAGAGTTGGATTTTCTTTTGTCTCGGAGCCTCAGTTTTTATTCAGAAGTCTCGTATGAGGGCTGCAGGAAGTGTAACAGCAGATATCATTCCATGTGTGACTTAAGAGTGAATTTTGTGATTAGTAACTCAGCTAACCAAGAAGAGGGCGTGCTGCTTAACAACCAAGCAGAGTGGCATGAACTTCACTGAGGTGGCATGTGCTTTCATTGGCCAGGTAGTTCTGAGGGAAGACAAAACCTCTTTGTAACTTAACCCTCAACTTACACAGGGTGTTATGTACTGAGTTGAATAGGATCCAAAATGCAGCAGTCTGATTGGTCCACAGGAGCCACCCAATCCAGCTCCAGGTGGAATTGAATCCACAACCTGATTGGCCTACAGGAGAATCCCGGAATTAGCCAATCACGTGGGGGCCATTGTGTAAATAATGTATAAGGCAGACATTCTGGGGGAACTTCCATTCCTCCTCACCACTATGAGCTGAATAAAGAGCATGAAATCCACTCTCGACTCCGAGTATATTTCACAGGATTTTGTTCATTTGCCTCCGTAAAGTGCTATCTCTCTTTTCGCTCTAGACTCTGCATTATTTAAGTGACTTTGCTAACAAGGGTTTGTGTAGGAGCAAGTTGAGCAGGGAAGAGCTACCATACTAGATTCCTCTCACCAGTAGATCATCACTGTCAGAGTGTTTTGGCGGAGCCCAGCTGCCACATGTTCCTTGGGGCTTTTCTCTTATCACCTGAGGCAGCAGCATCCCTAGAAACCTATGCCCACCTTAGTTCAAAGTGGTAAGACACACCTTTGTCTTGCTCTTGCACAAACAAAAAATCTCACCCTTTCCCACTCACTTGGCAGAACCTCTGTAGGAAAGCAAGCACCCATAAAAAATGAGGGGGGAAATGAGGAAGGAGAGAAGAGTCCCTCACTTCCCCCAATCTGCAACTATATGTGTTGTGTTGCCACAGGGACACCCATCTGGAACTTGACTGAGGGGAATAACAGAAGGAAAGCAGAGACTCCCCTGCTCACACTTTTCCTTGAGGGCATACTAGGAACTGACACCATCATGCTGAAGTTAGTGTTGCACTATGTTCTCTGCTACCACCACCCCATCCAACAATTCTCATATATGCTCACAAGACTGACAGCACCACTTCCTGAACATATTGGGAAGCTGAGCTTTGAGGGCCAAACTAAAGAGACTCTCAAATGACAAGCTTCTAAACACCCACTAAGGGAACACACTGCAGCTTTTAGGATTCTGGAATGTTATTTTCTTAAGGGAACCAGTGGCCAACGCTTCTTAAGACTGTTTTATATGTGAATTTTTAAAAGTCAAAAATCTTTCCACTGCAGGGGGAGAAATGGCAAGAGTCTGAAGGAGAAAGGAGGGAAAATAGCAGTCAAATCCTTCAGGTTTAACAGTCTTCTCTCTAGCTGTTTGAGACTCACGAAATTCCTAAGACCTGAGATCCAAGTGAAGATTTCACTGAGTGGAATCGTCACTGAGACTGACTCAACTAAGATTATATATCCTCCTGATACATGAACATGTGTTTTTTCACTTGGTCAGCAGAGAGTTTGAATTTCTTGTGGAGACCACCAGCATAGCTGACTCTAGAGCAGTTCTGAGGGAAATAAATGTATTTTAACTCATTCATGCCACTGCAGGTGATTTATATGAACAAAGAAAATAGTGCATGCTACTGTACAACAGAAAATGAACCTACATTGCAAGATGTTGCACCGGTTGAACAAAGTACTGTGGGAACCTGTGGAGGCTCCATTCACACATTCTTTTCCTATCACAAGATGTTCACACATGCATGTACATCACTTGTTTGTTTTATCCTCAACTCTTGAGCCCTGTTTAGGAAACAAATCTTGTGTACAATCAATGCACAGAGTGGAAGCAGGAGTGTGTCTGCTAGCCAAGATCCAACCACAGCATGTAGAGCAGATTGTTACAGCAGAAGCTATACTGATAGCAGAGGTGTATACATAGGCCCTATCCACAAAGTCTGCAGCATTTTTTTCAGGGTACAGATAAGATTGTGCATACATAGCAAAAAGTAGCTCATTGGTGTAGAAGGAGAAGCTGCTTCCTGGAAGACAAACTCAAGTCTGGTGCTGGAGGAAGAAGTGAGTTGGTCTAAGAACCAAATAATTCTTAACTGTGAAATAATTTTTTGCTTACTGAAATTTTAGCAAGGAGGAGGCAGTTTAGTGGCTTGTGTTAATCCTGCTTTCTTTTCACTACTCACAAGCAAAGAAGAACCATAGAAAGCTCCCAATGAGCAATTTGCTCCAACCAAGGCTGGAGGTGAATAGGGAGATTTGAACTAGGAATGGGAAATAGGCAGTGGAAGAGTGTCTATGGGGAGTGATGGGTGTCAGGGACTGGGCAGAGGAGGAATGGTGGAGACCATCTCCCCATCCTGACCCTTCCAAGGAGGAGGAAGAGGAAGATAGTATAGATTTACAACAGGAAAGGTCGCCGCTCAGAGGCAGCATGAGGGGGAAAGTTGGGAAATCATGGGAGAGCCAGAACAACACCCGGCTGACACATTGTCATTAAAAAACATTCCAGACCCACCGTCTCCCAGAACCCAGCAACCTTAAAAGTAGGAGCTCCAAGACAAAAAGTAAAGAGCTCAAAGACAAAGGGCACATAGCAGCACCCATAGAAGTGACAAATGAGGAAGTGGGAGAGATGGGGAGTGGAGATTCACTTGGGACAACGCCATTATCCAAGGGGCTGGGTTCTATAGCCTCTCTCTGTAAAGAGTGAAATGAAAAAAGGAATGTAAGAAACTTTTCCTTGTCTTTAGACTTTCCTGGGCATCCAGCCAGGAGGTGCTGACAAAATCATGACAATGGGGTACTGCCCTGACCTCAGTCTGTCTTCAGCCAGCTCTCACTTGCCTTCCTTCCTTCCTACAACCATTCTAGGTGTTGGCACTGCCTATCAACTCCCTCCTTCTTGGTCTCTGCATTGCCCTTGTAGAACTCAGCAGGGAGGAGGATGGGGGACAAAACTAGAATTAGCTGGCTCTGCCTGTCATTCATTCTGGCTCCACCTACTGTTGGTCTCCCTGCTTTTTGGCCTACCAGCCCCAATGAACACCAGCCACTAGTGGGAACAGGTTGTCCCTGCCCAGTTGAATAGTGTGAATCCTTAAAAGGCCAACACTCTTTTAGGTGAGCACTGCTTCTCCTTTCTGCATCTTCTTACCTGATGTGTTTCCTGTACTGTTGGGTAGGCATGGTGGAACAAAGAGTGCTTGATTTTTGAGGCTTGGGGGGGAGGCATCTGTGAGGGTCCTGGCTTGGGTTGCAAGGGTCCTGGCCACCAGTTTCAGGTTCGATATATGGAACTGGTCCAGTTCTTTAGCAGGTGATGAAGCAGCCCTGGACTGGCCATCCTTTGCTGACTCTCATCATGACATCATATGGCTGGAACACCATTTCACCAATCTTTTTGCATCTGAATCTCAGATTTTAGTGTCATGTTTTCATTGGAAATTTCTGTGGAATTAAGTTTAAATAGCTGAAACCAATAGTGTGGGGATGATTGATATTAAAAAAAACCTTGCTGTCAAGAGCATGGCATTGCATGGAACAGGTACCAGTCTGAGTTTGGAATTCTGACAGGAAAATCTAAATACAAGATCATTTGTGGCAGCGACTTCTCTAATTTCGAACAGAAAACACTCACTTAAGTGCAAGTCACATGTTACTCATGGATGCTTCACTGTGATTTACACCATGTACCATTTAAGAAGTTGTGAAGGAATGAAATACGAAAACAGTTAAAAGAGAACATTGCATTCATGGGTTCCGCTTGGTTGATAACACCAAGTGGCAGAATGAGAACACTTTTTAAAGATATGATTAAATATAAATTTTATGAACGGAAAACATCATAGCTTAAGGCTCTTTAAAATCCATGCATGCTGAAGGATTCCAAAAATAAGACACCAACTTCTTAAAAAAAAAAAAATCCAAGCTGGCAAAGTGATGCTACCATTTAAACAAATCACAGTCTATGGACATTTGCAACAGATCCTCCAAAAACTATACATGTCAGTCAGTCAGTTTTATTGCACATAGCCAAAGGCTGCCGCAATGTACACAGAATTATTTGACAATTAAAAGTAAATATACTGACTATACATGAAGTATTTATGCCAATCCCTCTTAACATTGGTCCATGTCATACCCAGCTGCATAGATAGTCTAAGCCAAACTAAACAAAGTGAAAAAGTGACAAAGTGTTTGGTAGTGTTTTGATTGTAGATAGTCTAAGCCATCAGAGCCCCAAACCGCAAAAAATATCATATCAAGTTATAAATCATGGCCCCCCTTATAGAGGAAGCCAAGCACCTCTCAGATAGACAGTGCTTTGTTGGTTTGAAACAGCATGGGGTCAGAATTTTACCAAAAATCTGACGTTATCCAATTCACTCTAAAATGGTGCCATAGTGTTGCAAATTCTCCCCTGAAAGGTTTGGCGGTAGAAACAGAAGAAATTGGTAGCAAGTTAGTGTCCCATTCTAAACTGGTCTATAAGAAGTTCTAAGTAGGTTGGGAATACCAAGATTCCAAAATAGATCTTTACGGAATATAATACAGTGACAAGCAGAATTAAAGTAAAAATGCAGCTTATGCTTTGGTCACATTGTGCAATGCATTAATTTGAAGATTATTATTTTTTAACCTGCTTGCAAATGTTTAGTACTGAGAACAACTTAAAATTGCAGCAGATTACTTTATTTTGCTATCTTTAAATAGGCATTCCAAATGAACTGGTTGTTGCTATTCTTCTGCAAACATCAGATGAAAGAATGTGGAAGTGCTGTGCATTATGAATAGACCTGCATTTCTTTTTAAGTTATCCCCAAACTAGGTTGAATATTAAGATGGGACAGAGCCATTGACATAGCAACTCTAATGATTTCTGCATTTTGCTGCTGGTAAAGAATTGAAAGGTGGCTGATTTGAATATTTCCTTCAATCTTCCATCAATAAACAAGAGACAAGGCAGATTTGAAAGTTCATCTGGGAAGAGTCATGTTTTTATAATTGCATTTAGCCTTCAGGCATGTGAAATCCAGAGGGTTAGGAGTGCTGTTTTAGAGAACTGGATTAGGCCAAGAGGTACACTCAAAACCTGGAGACATAATTTAATTTGCTTGTGGTCCCACACCTTAATCTGAAGAAAGAAAGGGGAAACGCTTTCCCATTTAATAAGTATGTACTTTGGTGAAAGAGAGCTCCATATGAAATATACATTCATCCCACCAATACTAGGGTGTTTGTTTCTTATTTGTTCTCATGTGGCAGCAGAACAATTTATGAAACAAATAAGAAACAGAAATTTTGTATTTGGTTAAATCTGATTGTTAGATTTCTGCAGTGTTTTTAAAAGATGCTTATCTTTAATGCAATCACACAGTGTCAAAGAGGAAAAATGTGATTGCTAGCCAATGTGTCTTTAATACAGTCAATGTTCTTCAGGAAACAACGTGGTATGGAAGTAGATTTGCACTGGAAAACATTCAAATAATGCTGTATTATGAAGATACAAGACAGCAAAGTGTTGTCAAGGGATACATTTTTGAATAACAAAAAAACAAAATTGCACAATGTTCTTTTTCCCCTGTGATGGAAAATACTATAGTCCTAACTATAAAATTAAAATCAGTCTACAGATAAATCTGAAATATCAAGGATATTGTATAATAAAGCTGGCAGGCAGAGGAGTAAAAGCAATGCACAAATATGTTCACAGTTGAATGCAACAGCCAACAGTGTTATTCAGGGGACTGTTTTAGACTCCATACAGTTGTTTTTCAGAAACATCCTAATATCTAGCAAATCCACTCATTTGACGAACAGAGTGACTAATTGCTGTAAAACAATTAAATGTTCCAATATACTACACATGCATGCAAAAGGCACACCCAGAGTATGAAGCTTATATTTATTAAAACAGAACAGGGAAGAAATTTGCACCAATCACAGCTAACAAGTGTAGGCAGGTATAAGCTGCACAGACAGATAGGAAATCTTCTGCCTGCTGCTAAGAACCAAACCACCCCAGATCAACTCCATCATCCAAGCTGGTGTGACAGGAGCCAAATAGCAACTTCCCATCAAGGGAAGCCATAGGTGTGCAGCCTGACAGGTGCCAGACACCCCTGCTATTCAGCATTCAATAAGTGGCACATGCCAGGCCCCCAGAGCAGCAAATCAAGCAGTCTCCTAAGCTGGCCAACATTAGAGAGATGATAAGTGAAGTGCCCTCCCTGCATTACAATACTGACCATGTACCACTCCACTTACCTGCCCACATTAAATGCCAAATAAACCAAACAGCCAAAATAAATTCAAGCCCAGCATAACCAGGCAGCTCCTCCCTCAAGCCTATTGGCTAATAAAGGCAATGTGAAGGAAGTCCCTCACCCCATTCCCCTCGAGGCTTCCTCCTTCATTGGGCTGGAACAAACGCACACACATTCTTACTTAAAAACAAATGGTTACCTCTGACTTCCGGGGAGGAATGATAGTGGACTAGTGATCAGCTGCTGACACTCATGTCAGCAGAGATAATTATGCAGTGATTAAAGGCAACCAAGGCATAAGATCTTGATTATCAAAACTTCCTTTTGAGATAAGGGGATCAGGGATTAACCCCTCAGGCCCAGAAGAAGACATTCATCACACCGTGAACAAAGACGTTTTCAGGTTTGGAGAAGTGTCTCAGATGAGGAACATTCATCAAGCCCATGCACTGCATCATAGCTCTTAAATTAGGGCACCAGGTCGATAATACCACCTTCTTTTAACTATTTACAAGACTGGAAGTAAGCACTAATTGGATACACTATCTGCCAGTTAATTTGCACCCAGAAACCGCTGGAAGATGAAAATAGACCAAAAAGCTTACCTTAACAATGGATGACTTTGAAAGTTTATAACTGAAGAGATATGTACCTCTTATCCTGTCTAAAATTTACAATTTATACCATCTCTAATTCTCTGTTGTTTGTGGGCTGTTTTAGACATGGAAACGAAAGTAAATGTTATCTGTGTCAGAATGGAATACTGATTTAAAGAAACGGGCACATTTTTCTGGAAGCAGAGACTGCCAAGGGGAGAATAATATAACTCAAGATGGCAAAAACAATGCTGAATGCCTCAGTGATTGCTGGTATCATGCAAAAATTACTAGATGAACAGTTGATAGAATTAAGAGCTGAAATGTGTGGAATATTAAAGGAGATCAGATCAGGGGGGCAAAAACAGACTAAAGAATGCACAGGACCTGTGGGAAAGGATGTTGACCCAGAACAGCCTGAACACAAAAAGCTAAAGGCAAAATGGACAACAGCAAACATTGGAATGGAGTGGTCATCCACTCAGCTGACTGGAGGACTGGATCAGACAAAGGATGCCATTGTGAAGCTGGAAGAGAAACAACTGTAGATGGCAGAACAGAAAAAGGATGCTGTTGTGACTGGGAGAAATGAATGGAATTATGAATAGAAACATTAAGAAACAAATGGAGATAGCAGAGGCAAAGCTGAGAGAGAAAGGCCCTTGTGTACATGCTGAAGTGAATACAAAAGAAAATGCCCCCAAGATTTTGGAGATTAGCTTGGAAAAAGAATGGGGAAAGGGGGGAAAGGGGCTTTTCCTTTTCTCTTTTATCCAGGATACAGAAAATCATCATAATGGATACAGAATCATGACCAACGAGAACATACCAGTCCCATTTCCTGTTGTCCATGATACATTATGATGAATTTCTTTGGACTCTGGTATATACATTTTTTAAAACAAAGTGTTAAAAAAACAACAACAACTTTTAAAGTGTCAGCATAACACATGGTTCAGGTGCCTTTAAGATCACACACAATATTACATTGCTTTATATTGCTAAATCTAAACTGAATTATCTTAGCTATATTTAAAATAATGAAACTGTGAATTTGGTGCTCTCTTTATTTGCTTTCGGCCAAAGGAGCACTAAGGATTCACCAGAGAATGTAGTTATATGGGATCATGCAGTACCTAAATGTAATTTTGTTAAGTGAAGAACTGAAATTACCATATGCTCACATGACTCTTCAAGTACCAGTTTCAAATGAATCCACATTCATGATATTAAAAAGCAAAAATGTTGAACTGGTAGCACTCAAAATAAAGTATTTGTAAAGCATATTCAATGTAAAGAAAACTGAAATTATTTTCACTTTCCTTTAGGAAACAGTACCCATTCAAAGATGAAACTTCCTAAATGAAATAATTATGTGTGAAAATTCTACTATGCATTGTTGTAGGCACACATTTGACCTATGCTAAAGGCCCCTTGTGCTCAATAAAAATACTGACTTCCTAAGGAAGAAGTTGGTGAAAAGTAATAGTAAATCACTGTATGTAAAATTTACATCTGTTTACCCAGTGCATGATGTCACACAGTTCACTGACCTTGCTTGATTGGGGTTGAGATAAGCAGGGCATTTTTATTGGCAGCAACAGGAATAGGTTCAAAATTTGAGAAAACTAAATATAAAAAAAAGACTAAGAGTGAGATCCAGAGAAAATTAGGTGCACTTAAGTGCCACTGAAATCCCTAATCAAAGAGGAGAGACTTTCCTCATCTGTAACTGAAGCCAGTGTCTGGCTTGAAATTAAGCTGAAATCCCACTGATTAGGACTTGGGTACACTTAACTTTCTTTGAATTGTGCCCTACATGCATAACAAAAGTCTTGCCCATCTTGGAAAGCCTCGTATAAGACAGCCTTATCTCTTAAACAGAAATATTAAATTAATGAGATTACAGTTGAAACCCCATTATCCAGATGTTACAAGACATATACCATCTGATTCCAGCAGATGGCTATCAGAATATAGAAATATAGTTGTCAGGGGGAATGGGATAGCCTCTTCCATTTCTGTATCTAACCAAGGGCTTCATTTGTTTCCGTAATCATCATGCCTTAAAGACACATATAAGATAAGGGGGGGGGACCTCTGGGCAGAAATGCCTTTACATCTTTGAACAGACCGATGTGGCTTTTATACTTGGGTATAATTCACAGCCTCCTTGCATGAAATGCAAAAGAGACAGTTTCAGCCCCTCCTTTGTTCCCTAAATTCCTGCAAAAAGTTTGATAGTTTCAAAGTTCAGACGAGCTGTAAAGGCATTGCAAAGTAAGCTTATCAGGCATTATCATGAACCATAGGAGAGAATTCTCTAAGTATGTCTCGATATCAGATGATATATTGATTGATTGATATATGGGAGCTCCAGTGCATTGATATAAGAAAGTTGCCAGCATAACAAGGCTTACCCTCTCAGGCTGTGTTCCAAAAAAGCTTCCCATGGAATGAATGAAGCCTGATTCCTCATACACAAAAGGAACCTGCTGCTACTGAGTACATGGTTTGGGATTGCTGCCTTGAAACAAAAGAGTGGCCCAACTGCTGTGCATTTTCCCCACAGCCATCTAAAAGCAACATATTTGTACAAACAAAACAAAAATAAGCCCTCTTTTAGACTACTCTCTTTGCTTTGACAGAAAACTTCAGTTTTAAGCCAAGATTCCAGATTGTTTTTGTGGAAACACTTCCACTTGTCTGAAAGTGTATATATAATGGATATGTGGTAGCGGTAATGTGATGCTGAAGTAATCTCATGAGAAATGGATGACTCTCAGGGGACTCTATACAGTGGTAGGTAGTAGAGACCAGTAAGGGTGAATTGGTATTCTAACAATATGGAGAAAGCCTTCGATTTGTACCATCACAAAAATACCAGATCTCATTTATAATTCAGCAGTAATGTGTGTGTATTTTTTTTCCTTTTACAAAGTGTTTTGCTTTTGTAGGAAATGGAAGTGACAGCTTTGAAGGTTCTTTCTGGCTTCATACCTATAGGATCTGAAGTTGCCGTCATAATTTTGAAGTACCCTCATGCCCATAAAATCTGATAGGAACTGTAAGATTCTTTTATCTGATAAATGGACACATGTGGATCATGCCATCCAATTGGGGCTGAATTTGGAGAGGCAGATAATTATGACTGTGCAGTGGTACCTCTGGTTATGAACTTAATTCGTTCCCGAGGTCCGTTCTTAACCTTAGGTACCACTTTAGCTAATGGGGCCTCCTGCTGCCGTCACACCACTGCCACACGATTTCTGTTCTCATCCTGGGGCAAAGTTCTTAACCTGAGGTACTACTTCTGGGTTAGTGGAGTCTGTAACCCAAAGTGTTTGTAACCCGAAGTACCACTGTAGTTTGAACAACAGCGGAGAAAGTAAGCTTAGAATAAGAAGGCATACAAACATCCATGGGAAAACACAGAGCCCATTCACAGGGTTGGTATTCAGGGATACTGAACATGCCATGGGAGAACAGGTTCACCCCCACTGTCCCTTCTCCTGGTTTCATATCCTAGTTTTAAGTGAGACCTTTCAAGGTTTTTGGTTCACTGAAGCTGGGTGGCACAAGGGGAGAATAGAAAGGGAGTGGTGAGGAAGGAGTATGCAGTCCTAGTGCTTTTCTTGGGGTGGTAAAACACCATTTATCAGACAATTGTGTACCTGTTGTTGTTGTTTTTCCATCCTTGCAGCTACATGGAAGAATGGTCATTGAGTTGCACATCCAAAGGAAAAAACAGTATTTTTTAACGAAAATTATATACCAATTAATCAAAAGATAAAGTGGTGAAAAACATTCTCATTCTCATAGAAAACATGAAACAAATATAAAAGTGTTTAACTATGATGTAACTGTTTCAGTCCTGCGCAACAGTGCTTGTCCAAAATATTAAACTGAGGTTTTTCATTGGTTCAGGAGGTAAGGCAGGGATAAAATGTCACATAAAGATTAGAATAGTTATCAAGAACTTGGCAATTTCATCAGTGGGGTGGGACTGTCTACTCTTCTTGACAAGGCTGCTAAATTTCCTTATTTTCCCATAAAAGAGATTCATTGGTGCTGCTTCACACAACTGCACAGCAGCGTGGCAGTGTTCCTTCTCAATTCTGATCAGAATGTCTGAGCAACACAACATCATGACACAAAGTCTTTATGGTGGAGGAAGAAAGAAGCCATGCTAAAAATGTATTTGAATACACTAAGGACCTCTTAAAAGTAGCTGAATTCCCGCCCCCATTTTGGGGGGAGGGTGAATGGCCCCATCAGACATAGGGGACTGGTAATCTTTGGTCCTACATTAGTTTAGAAGTTCCATTCTATAGCCAAACAAACAACAAAGGAAATGTTAACTTTGAGCTATGGAAGCAATGAGAATTTAGGTGTTTCCTAAACCTGAACAAAAGATCAGTTTTAGAATTTCTCTATAACTGGGGAAGGGTTGGCAAGGGAGGGAGGACTAACTGTATGAAATCCTTTCCTTAAAAAAAAGATGCACATTTTTAATTTATATCCATCCAAGGTTGGGATGTGATAAATGCAGGGCCTTTCACAAAGTGAATATTATAATGAGGCCGTAACATTTTACTAACATGAATTCATAAGGTGACCCTGGAGATTAACAATAAAACACAACTCTGTAACAGATAGAAAAGACCGCATTTCTGTGTTTTCTCCCCAAATAAGGCTCAGCTTGTCCAATCCTTATAGGGGAGGATTTGCCTGTAATGTCTCCATTGCACCTATTAAAAATAAAATACAATTACAATTTAGCTTTGAGCACCAGTAATTCTTGCATGCTCACTGGCCGCTTTGAGGCGAATCAGAGTTTGTATACATTCCCTTCCAGCCAGAATCTCCCCTTCTCTCCCCACTCCCTATCTATAAAAAGGTGAGCAGATTAAACAAATTATGAACTATGCAGGGCTTGAATACTTTATAAAATGGTAGAACCAGCTTTTAGAAACCTTTTAATGTTCCATTTCCCAGCGGTGAAATGACAGGCTCCATTCTCCTCTCTTTCAGTTGCCCTTGCCACTTCAAAATGTGTCTGGAAACAGCTCTGCAGATGGCCTCGTATGTTTTACAGGAAATATTACTTAAACATTGGAAAGGATCAAATTTCTCCTTTTAGGAATTACAAATCTGGATTTCATTTTCTCCTCCAAACCATGGGAAAAATGTTACTGTTTCATATGTCACAAAGGAAGTATTTTTAAAAAGAAGGGGGAAAATGAACACTTGTGTTACAAAATACACCAGAGGACTTTGGAAATGTTCCTCTGTTTTAATATAAAATAATAGCAAATCAAAATAATCTTCTGAAACCAATTCCCTTGTCCCCCCCCCCTTCTTTAATGTTAGGAGCTAGAAAAAATATTGTACAGGATCTTAATATTTTGATTGTTATGTCTGCAAGTAGAAAACAGTAATAAAGTTCTATTTCAACTTGATAGCCCATTACTTAACATTTCAAGCATTTCCTCCATTTGGATCTTGATTTGGGGGGGGGGGTTACAAGACTAGTTTAGGCTGCAGGTGGGGATGGAGGAGCTCCATTATCAGAGGGGGGGGTCTGGTGTTAGTAAAACACACAATTAAAATAGTAGCAAGTGGTGTCAGGGTTTACTGGTAATGACATTAATTGCCAGTTCATAAGCCACAATTTCCTCACTGCAAAGTTCCTGAAATCAAAATAGCCAAGTATACATATTTCCCATTTAAAACCACATTTTTGTGTGGTTCCCCCCCCCTGCCTCTGAGTAGACACCTCACTAAGAAGGAGTGAAATTACAAACAGCACCTTTTAGGAAATTAAAAAGGGCCGTTTTCTCTAATATTTCACTTCAGAATATGACTGTTTTAAACCAATGGAAGCAATGGTTTCCAATGATTTTGAACTTTGTCCTTTGCTCCAGACATCTTAGGTACCATTGAGTGTTCACTGCTCAAATCCTGTGCTCACTGCTAGAAACCCCCACCCCCAAGTCATTACACTTTAGCTTATATAGATTAATTGCTCTGTTGTGTAAGACTACCATTATGAAAATGACCATGCACAACAGGGCTTCCTCCTCCCACCCTCTCACCTGAAGCCTGTCACACATCTTCAAAAGCTGCTCCAAAGTGTTGGGGGGGGCTCTGTAGCAGATTTAGGGGGCAGGTGAGGAAAGGGCGGGCAGATCCAAAAAAGCTCAAGAACTTTGGCTGCTCACCCCCCTGACAAAAATCCTGGCTATGCCCATACTGCTGGGTGAGCAAAATTCCACTCACACAGTGTCTGATACAATCATGGACTCACAATGTGATAAATAGGAAGCAAATCGAAGCTAAAGGAAGCCAAGGAAAAGTCATGGTCACTTCTTGGGCAAAAGTTTCCTCGTGCCTCAGTTTTCCAAGAGCTGGGAATCAAATTATATCTAGTGTGATATAAGAAGTCCATCCTAATTCCTAGAATCACTATATTATTATTTTAAACCAATCATGAATGTATGTGCTTGCCTTCAATGCAATGTCCCAGTACCATCCACATACAATCCCCTCCCTCAATAGGCTCAGATTTGTTCTAGAGTTCCCACTGAATTTCTCCTGTGGCAAAATTCAAGGCATACTTGGAATGCTTGGAGGATCCTATTCAAGCATAAGAATTTCAATAGGATTAGGAATATTTCTCAAGGGAAGTGGCTCACATGTTTTTAGTTGCCCCCAAATTCACTTTATGTTTCCTAACTGTACCTGTTTGCCAAGATTCGCAGGCATGGATGGTCTGGGCCTGGCAATCTAAAGGACTTTAGGAAGGGATTCTGATGAAACTTGACCTTGCTTTAAGGGCATCCTGGTAGTATTGAATCCTCCTAAAATGAAGACAAAGGACGTGGGTGGCGCTGTGGTCTAAGCCACAGAGCCTAGGGCTTGCCGATCAGAAGGCCAGTGGTTCGAATCCCCACAACGGAGTGAGCTCCCGTTGCTCGGTCCCTGTTCCTGCCAACCTAGCAGTTCAAAAGCATGTCAAAGTGCAAATAGATACCGCTCCAGCGGGAAGGTAAACGGTGTTTCCGTGCGCTGCTCTGGTTTCGCCAAAAGCAGCTTAGTCATGCTGGCCACATGACCCGGAAGCTGTACGCCGGCTCCCTCGGCCAGTATGAGCGCTGCGATCCCAGAGTCGTCCGCGACTGGACCTAACAGTCAGGAGTCCCTTTACCTTTAAAATGAAGACTATCCTTCATAATCTCTCAGAATTCTGAACACCGAGGAAAGGCCATGTCTTGCACTCACTGGGAAGGGGTAATGACAAAATTACAAGTCACTGGATATGATTGTTTGGCCGTTCACTTCATGAGCCTTAAGCACCACTGCATTTCATTTTGCACCTGGTACCGCAGAAGCAGGTTAGTGCACCAGAAAGGTAATGAGGTGCAAAGTTGTGGCTACAGTTAAAATGTGTATCTGATAACATGCAGCAAGAGAACAAAGTCCTATCTTTCCATTTCCCACTAAACTCGATCAATTGCCTCAGACTATGGACCTCTGGAAAGGTGCCCACAACAATTTAGCAATCTCCCCCTCCCTCCCAACCTATTGCTTTGCAGTATGGAGGTATGTTTCTCTCTCTCTTCCTCCCCGCTCCCCCAAGAAAGTATTATTAAGGTTGCCAATAAAATTCGGGAACTGGTTATTTGTGCGAAACACAAATCTGCCAAATAATTTGGCACTACTTCCTTTCCTTGGCAGCCTCCCCCGAAGAGACACCCATCCTTGAAAATGGGGTTGTTGAGGGCAGCGTCTGAGTACACTGGAATTTGGCAGACTGGTCAGAACCTGAAGCTTTTACAGTGGCGACACGGACTATATATGGTGCCATGCAGTATATCTGGCTGATTCTTGGACACATCAGATTGCCGTTTTTCTTTCCCATACGAAGGAATAAAGGATTCAATGTCAGTGAAACAAGGATGGTCTTTCACCTTTAACTTTGAATTTTCTTGCCTTTGTACCTGTCATAACCTTAACATAGGGGTTTTTTGTACTTAGTTGTAAATCTAATGACTGCTGATGAAGCAAGAATAAAAATTATAGTGCAATCAAGAGGTATGTGAAAGAAAATGGATTTTACAAGTGCATACTTTTAAGCAAAGGAGCCAGTCTGAAACATAAATAAAAGGAGCCCAGGGGACTACACCTCTGACATTAAACAATCTTGTCATGAGGGCCCATTACAGCAGAAATTTAGGAGCAGTTAAAAGAGAATTTCTATAGCATGGTAGTGCTCTTTGAACATCTCCCCATTCATTTCAATGGAACTCACAAGGGGAAATGTCCTCCAGAACAGTGGCAATTAGCTGCAAAGGAGCTAATTCTTGAAGGAGTCTTCCAACAGTTTAAACTGAAGGTGGAAAGGGGTGCACTTGGGGCAGCAATGTCCAAAGTAAGAGCAAATGAAAATTTGATTCTATGTACAAAAATGAAAGCAAAGGCAGTATGGCAGGAATTATAATAGATATTATTTTTGTGCTTATGTATAAATAGCCCATGAATTCCCAATATTTCTCTACTGTGGTCTCTGATATAAAGGGCCTCCTTTTCTTTGCACATGCACTCGTGAGAAGCAGCTTTTTGCCCACCTCTGGTGAATTTGAGGATGAGCTGAATTTTGGAATTCAAGTGGTATGATGTCATTAGATCTTTCAAAGGTGATGATTTCATTGGTTTGGTCTAGACTGTTGACTTTAGCCTTAATAATTGGAGGCACAAGGGGGGGGAGAGTTCTCACAGTATCATAAAGTGAGAAGAATAATTCTGGTAAATACTTGATTGTCTGGCATCGTTCTGGGTTGTGGAGTATACCACTTGAGTAAGAGAGTCTGACATTGTTACCAGTGGGTTCTTCTCCCACTGAAAGAGAATGGAGAGAAAACTCTCCTAATTGTAGAGCAATACAAAACATGCTATTTTAAAATGTGTATGTGTGTGTATAGCTAAACTGCTTGAGTAATTTCTGCTTTTAAATTGCAGGCTGTATTTCCACAGACTCCTTTCTTTCTTGTGTGATTTCTATATGGAAAGGAGTTTCTTAATCACTTTATACCAGCTGTGTGTGGGTGTGTGTGTGTGTGGGTGTGTGTGTGTAAGAGAGAGGGGGTGTGATTCGAGAATTGGTCGTTGTGTTGGAAACCATATATAAAAACAAATGGGAATAATTCAGCAGGAATAAAATTATTTATCGGAAAGAAAGAAAAATTAAAACTATCAATTCAAAAGTATTTTGCCATTTACACAAAAAACCCCTCTAATTTGATAATTGTACATTCCTTCTGAGCTTTAATATTCAGAATGAGTGTGTGTGTGTATGTGTTTTAATCTGTCTCATTATTTCGAATAGCACACAATTTTGGAAGAGGCTCTAATAATGATTATTAGTTGCTTGTAGGTTTTGTCATGCAGGTATTAACATGAGGTCAGGATTAGCGGGCCTTTAAATTTAAAAGAGAGAGAGCACATTTGCAGTTTCAAACAACAAAAACCTCATCAAAAATGCCAGCAGCACTGAAGAAGAAGAAAAATGCCCATTCTCTCCCCCTCCATGCCCTGCTCGTCCCTTCGGCTGGCAGAAGCATAATGCTAAGATTGGCTAAAAGACAGTTCCACATGATCTAAGCCATTGTTGAAATGTACCATTATACCTTGGCAAAGCTGTGTTAGCTGGCGTGCTTCTACAAGGGACTCATTGCCTCTTTGCTCCTTTCCACTTGTACCGCTCCCCTAAATCCGGGCAGGGGGAAACAAGGTGGGTGAGTTCCATCCAGCAATTTCTTTTCTTTCTTACAAAAGGAACATTTAAGCAGAAACACATACATCATGCCACAGCCATGCTTTGAATTCTTCTCTCTCGCGCTCCCTTTTTTTGTCTAGCAGGAGAAAAACCTATATTGTAAAAGAACGCCAGCGTCTATGAAGTTCCCCTCCTGCTAACAGCTATCTGCCTGGCACAGGCCTGCTCGATCTCAGCTGGGACTTTGCTAAGGATCTCGCTTTCATGGGCAAACATA